ATTTTATTGTAGAGATGAGGTCTTGCCTGCCCAGGCGGGTCTTGAACCCGCGGGCTCAAGCAATCCACTCACCTCAGCCTCCCAAAGGCGCGGGATACAGGCTGAGCCACCAAGCCCGGCTTATATAAAGTTTTAATGTAAGATTTCAAAACATTAAAATGCAGCACAAATAGTATAATGATCCCTATATAGCCTCACCCGGATGAAATAGTTATTGAGTCTTGGCCGATCTACACTCTTCCCACATCCTCACCTTCTTCTGGATTATTCTAAAGCAATTTTCAGCATCAAATCATTTCATGTGAAGTCATTTCAGCATAAAACCTTTTTTTTTGAGTTGGGGTCTCACTCAGTTGCCCGGTTGGAGTGCAATGGCACAATCACAGCTCACTGCAGTCTCAATCTCTAGGGCTCAGACAATTCTTCCTCCTCAGCCTCCTGGACAGCTTGGACTACAGGTGTGCATCACCACACCTAGCAAAAAAAAATTTTTTTTAATTCGATTGTTTGTAGAGACAAAGTCTCACTATATTCTCCAGGCTGGTCACAAACTCCTTATAACTCTCCTTTTTGATGGCTGTGAGATAGCCATTGATCAGTGGAGAGAACAAAACACATCATTTCTTTATTGAGGGCTATTTTGTTTGTTCTAATATTTCTGTTATAAATGACACTACAATTTATATCTTCTTGTGGCTCAGCCTGTAATCCCACGCCTTGGGAGGCTGAGGTGAGTGGACTGCCTGAACCCGTGGGTTTCAGACCCGCCTGGGCAACTTGGCGAGACCTCATCTCTACAATAAATCAAAAAAAATTTGCCGGGCATGGTGGCACGTGCCTGTAGTTCCGGCTACTTGGAAGACTGAGGCAGAAGGATCGCCGGAGCCCAGCAGGTCGTGGCTGCGGTGGCCGGGAGCAGCCACTGCACTCCAGTCTGGGCGACAGAGTGAGACTCCAACTCAAAAAAAAAAAAAAAAAAAAACAAATCCATAATTTAAATAATTTTCTTAGAACAGGTTCCCAAACAGGAAATCCTTGGGCCAAAGTGTATAAACATTTTTATGGCTCCACAGAAATACTTCCAAGTATATTTTTAAACATACTACATCAATTAAAAAGCCACTAGAAATACCCAAGATACTGTACCTTCATCAGCATTACTACCTTTCATAATTTTGAGATAGGGTCTCACCTGTTGCCCAGGCTAGATTGCAGTGGTGATCATAGCTCACTGAAGCCTCCAGCTCCTGGGCTCAAGTGATCCTCCTGCCTCAGCCTCCCAAGTAGCTGGCCTGCCACACCATACCCAGCTGATTAAAAAAAATTTTTTTAGAGGCATAAACTCATTATGTTGCACAGGTTGGTCTCAAAATCTTGGCCTCAAGTAATCCTCCTTCCTCAGTCTCTCACGTAGCTTATTATCATTTTAAAAAATCAATTTTATATTTTCTTTTACAAACCCTTGTGTTAGGAAGAGACTTTCAACAGACCACAGCGAGAAAGCTGATCTATTCTGTACCACATACTACCATTTTAAAAATTGCTGGCTGAGCACGGTGTCTCAAGCCTGTAATCCCAACACTTTGGGAAGCTGAGGTGAGAGGATTACCTGAGCCCAGGGGTTCAAGATCAGCCTGGGCAACTTGGCCAGACTTTGTCTCTACAATATATCAAAAAACTAGCCGGGTGTGTTAGCACACACCTGTAGTTCCAGCTACTTGGAAGACAGCAGTGGAAGGATTGCCTGAGTCCAGCAGATCAACTCTGGGGTGACCGTGAGCCTGCCACAGCACTCGAGCCTGGGCAACAGGGTGAGACTCTGGCCCAAAAAACAAACAAACAACAACAAAAATTGCTATTTAATGGGGGGAACAACAGTACTTCATGCCTGTTAAGTAAAACAACAAAGAAGGAAAAGCCTTGTGTTGATGCCGCATAGGTATGAGGGTCTCTCATGCAAGGCTCTGTCCCTGAGGCAGGAAGCAGGATTGTGTGCCTGGGATGAAGAGCCCCTGGCCCTCTACGCTTGCTTTTCCTTTGCTCTCACCCGTTAGCCCAGGTCCCTTTCCAGCTCCTTTTCTGATCCCTGATGGACCCATCTGGTGAGCTACACATGGTGACAATGGCTGGAGAACAGCAAACAAGACTGGGGAACTGGTGAGCCTGCGACAGAAGACCTCCTTTCTGTGATTTCCTTCCAGAAGGATTTTTGCCACCCAGTGGGAGGGAGAGGACAAATGACACATATAAACATAGGAAGGAGTGGGTTATAATGGGAACACAGTGGGTTGGTATCCCAGCACAGAGGGGTTCTAAGTCTCCATTTTCTACATGGGAGATGATGTCCAAAGATGGCCATGCTCAATTCCTTCCCTTTTCACACACATCCACACCTCAATAGTCAAGTAGAGTCTATTTGTCCTCCCTTTGCATCTGAGTAGGCTTTAGTGACCTTTTCAACCCAACATGGTAGAGGTGATGTTCTGAAACCTCTCAGATTAAGTCAAGAGAAGCCTTGCTGGGCAATCCCTTAGGATCCCCTCCCACTGTGGGAGCTATTCTGTCCTCTCAATAAATCCTGCTTTCAAAAAAAAAAGAGATGCCTTGCCACTCCTTCCTGGTCTCTTGGATGACTGGTTGTGGGACCAATCCTTCTTGAAACCCAACTGCTAAGTTGTGAGAAGCCCAGGCTACATGGAGAAGCCATGTGGAAATGCTCTGGTTGGGAGTCCCAGCAGGACTTCAAGCCCACAGCCAGCATCAACTGCTAGCCAGCTTGGCCTCATCAGGCTTTCAGATGACCCCTGACTGCAGATACCTGCGAGTCCCAAGTGAGAAGTGTCCAGTTGAGCACAATCAACTCACAGAACCATGGATGATAACATTGAATCGTTGTTATTAAGCCACTGCATTTAGGAGCAGTGTATGAGGCAGGACCCAAAAAACCTGGAAATTACCTTTTGGAGGACAGGTCCCTTGTAGTACAGGCTTCTCCCACTAGGTAAGTGTTCTAGGAACCCATCAGTATCTGTGTACCTGCTAGCGTTGTTTTGAGAGTCTGCGTTCAGATTCAGTGAGTTTTTTTGGAGATTCAATGCGTTTGCCCATTTTATGATGGGTGATTTACGTGCGTACATGCCCACACCACGCTGAGTGTTCAGTAGTGTTTGACCAAATCAGCATGACTTCCATAACCCAACCCTTCCTATTTACCTAATATCACTCACGCAACTTTTTTTCATTTTCCTGAATTAAATAAAGTCCTTAAGGGGAAACATTTTGCCAGTGTGGAAGAGGTAAAATAAAAAAACAACAGAATCACTAAAAAGCATCAAAATTGATGAGTTCAAAACTGTTTGGAGCACTGGAGAAAGTATTTCAATAGGTGCATTGCAATAAACAAAAAATACATTAACAGTGAATTAAGTTTATACATGTAAGAATAAATACACAGTTTTAACAAATAAATTCCAGGTTTTTTGAGCCCCTCCCCCTTGTATTATGCATTGATAGACAACCAGTGCAATTACCAACTAGCTTTGATCTGAGACACACCAGCTCACATCTTTGGTTCTTAGTCTCCTCATCTGTAAAATAAGGAGGTGAGAATAGACCCTCTCAAAGGTCACCTTGAACCATGACTCTACTAGCTTCAGTCTTCAAGACAACCTCAAAAGGATGGTCAATAGTAGAAACATTTTTTTATCAAATAACCACAGTAAAGTGATATCACTTCGCAGTAAGCCAAGCTCCTCTTGGGGGAATGGAATGTTTAAGCAGGACCAAAAAAGAGTAAATGATATACTGACAAAGAGACAAACATGAAACATGAACAGTGCAGGTTCAACACATCTTCATATTGAAAAATAATAAAACACTGATCATTGCCTCGCTAAGCTATGGTGTAGCCATTGTGCTCTTCAACTATAGCCAGGTCATGTTTCCTGGCTTTGGTCCCCACCCCTACCTTGGGGAGGTGAATCTCCTCTTTCTCTAATTTACTTTTAAATAAACTATATTTTCTAATCTATAAAAAAGAAAAACAATAAAACATGTTACTTACTCATCAAAATATTTAATACGCTTAATAGCATAAATCTTTCCATCAATTCTGTGTTTTGCTTTGAAAACGTGACCAAATCCACCTAAGCCAATTGGTTGTATTTCTTCAAAATCGTTGACAAACCTTAAAGATAAACACCACTGTTATGAGGTTCACTGTTTTCTCCCTCCCCACCATTTAATATCATTTGAGAAATGGACTGTTTAACAAACACGTGTCTCTCCTGAATAGAAACTCTTGATTCGCAAAGGGTCGTCCCTTCCTCCTGCCTCTGGTCTCACCCCCTCTGCCTCCCATATTGAGTTCAATATAATCATCCCTGGGAATCACAGGCACCTCCTGGCTGTTCTAAAGCTGATAAAGGATCCCATCCCAAGCACAAGACATTCCAAAACATCACCACATTGTACTCCACAGCTTCCACCAAGTCCCATAGGAGAAATACACGTGTTATCTGAGCCTGGCCAGGTTTGTAACTCTCTCCGACCTCACACACCATCCTTAGACCCCATCGATGCTACTTCCAGGACACATGGCTGGCAACTGTGCCCTTTTCTCTGTCTTTATCAACTTCACCCCAGTCCACACTTCCCTAGTTAACCCTCCCCCCCCACCCTCCCTCATGTCCTGCCCTGCTCCAACCCATGACCCAGGCAGCAACCAGAGGGATGAAAATGGGGTCTGGTCACGTCTCTCTGCTGCTGAAACTCACCAATAGCCCACCTCTGCTTGCAGCAAAAATAAAAAGCCAAGTGGCTTGGGAGGTGCCATGTGACGTGCCCCCTGTCTCCCTTTGTAGGCTTGATCCTTGGAGCCGAGCCCTTGCTCACTGTAGGCACAGACATGTCCTTCTATCTGTCCTCAACACTCACATCCCCCCTCACCTCCACCCTCCCGGTGTCATTCTGGAGGTCTCAGCGCCTCCTGGCCTCATCTTGAAGGCCTCCCTGCAGTTGAGAGCTCAGAGAAGCCTCGCCTCACCCTCACTCAAAGTCCAAGTACCCTGCTTCTGTTTCTCTCCCTTTGGAGTTCTGACCAACATCTGTCATGGCAGATTTTTGGGGTAATTGCTTTTTTACTGGCCATCAACCCCATAAAACCCCATGAGCGCAGGAATCGTTTCTACCTGTTTCTGCTACAAACTCCTGTCCAGCACAGTGCCGGTTAAATATGAGATGCTTGAAGAGTATGCGTTGATTCTTTACTGGTTTAATATCCTCTTTTTAATTTTTTTTATTATTTATTTATTTATTTTTGAGTTGGATTCTCACTATCACCCAGACTAGAGTGCAGTGGCATATTCACGGCCACTGCAGCCTCGACCTATTGGGCTCAGATGATCCTTCTACCTCAGCCTTCCAAGCTAGAACTACAGGTTTGCACTACCATGCCCAGCTAACTTTCTTTTATTGAGACAAGGTCTCACCAAGTTGCCCAGGTTGATCTTGAATCCCTGGGCTTATGCAATCCTCTTGCTTCAGCCTCCCAAAGTACTGGGATTACAGGCGTGAGCCAAAGTGCCCTGCCTTCTTTACTGTGCTTTAAACTTATCTGCAATGCTCTCCTGTTGCAAAGGTCTCCTGTGTTTTAGAGATTTCATTAAAACCCAAATGTACTGTCTACAGCAGAGGAACCCTTTTTTTTTGAGTGAAATCTGGCATGGAGCTAGATATATGAAAAACAGACGTAAGTGGATCAATTCTGAATCCTGCAGAAGTACTTTTTGTTTATAATCACTGGTTTACAGAAGTACCCACCTTCAATATGAATGACTTCCATAGATGTTAGAGAGATCCACATTTATCACATCCCATTGGATTTGTCTAATCTTACTTTATCAACAGACAATGATCCTTGTTGGGCTTGATTGTGTTACAACATTTAAACTACTCAGGAAGGAATATAATTTAACCTTATAACAGGATCTTAAGAAACTTCAGCTGAATGAACAAACATATTTTCAAACAAATACTATTTCACAGTTCCAACTTACCTTATGTCCACAGTATCCATTTTTTCTTTCCTCTCAGAAGGGTAAAAACGAGGTGCCAAATATCTAAAAATTAAAAAAAGAATGTAAAACTCAGATAAAACTGAAATCATCAGCCTAGGCAACATAACGAGACCTCGTCTCTACAAATATTTTTTTTAATTAGCCAAGTATAGTAGCATACACCTGTAGTCCCTGCCATTTTGGAGGCTGTAATGAAAGGATCGCCTGAGCCCAGGAAGATGAGGCTGCGGCGAGTCATGATCATCCACTCTAGCCTGGATGACAGAGTGAAACTCCGACTCAAACAAAACAAACAAACAAAATCCTGAAATCAAATGTCACTTGGTTATGGTAGGTTACATGCCTGACATTAGGAATTTTATATTTTTGGTCAACTAAGCATATCAGGGCAGCAAGTGTTAACCTCTTTCTTTATAAAACTATACAGCCGGGTGTGGTGGCGCATGCTTGTAGTTCCAGCTACTTGGAAGGATGAGGCGGAAGGATTGCTTGAGCTCAGCAGGCCGAGGCTGTGGTGGCCGGAAGCATGCCACTGCCCTCCAGCCTGGGTGACACAGTGAAACTCCTACTCAAAAAACAAAACTATATACACTTATGGTTCTTCTCTTATTATTCTCATCTCCTTCCTAGTTCCTTTCATCACCCTGTAGCACTAATTCTTGACGTGCCACCAGCCTCCCTTTTCTTCCTTCAGGCTCACAGCTGTGGGAGGCACATCTCCTTGCAGTTGACCTAAAACCAAACATATCCAAATTGTTATCTCAGCCCTCAAGTCTTCCACATCCTTGACACCATCAGGCTACGATTCCTGGCTGCATTCCGTTAAAAGGAGCAATCTCTGTTTGAAAGACCCAAGAAACCAAGAAACTTAAAAAGTCATACTTGCTGTAAAAGTAGTGTTTAGTTCACTATATTTTATATATCCCTACCTCATGTTCATTGTACTTTATGAAATCTTAGTTACCTCATGTTTACTATATATTTTGTGTGTTTCTACCTCATGTTCATTGTACTTTATGAAATCTTAGTACTTTAAATCCTACCTCAGACCCCGTAGAATTAGGCATATGTCGGGTGCCGGGTAGCGACTGATTGTGTAGTTACATAGTGTCTTAAGTAGTGTTTGTATTTAGAACTCTTGGGTTAAGCATTGTTAGTCCCAATTGCCATGCTGACTTCTGCTTTTACAACGGGATGTAAATGTTAAAGCGATAAGCCCCTTTCAGACATTCCTTTGCAGCAGATTTGGAGGCGCTAGTAACCTCCTGCCTCCTTGCTCAAGTTAATTTATATGCAGTGACTGTATGAACCTAACTTATCTGACATTCCACTCTGCCTGTTAAGTGGGTTTCTGTCAATCACGGGCAGTCAGGTTGAAGCCCACGAAAGGCACCTACCAATACCAAGTGTTCCCGTACTCATTAGGAGAAATTACCCAATCATGTAAAACCAAGTTTAAAGTTCTTTCCCCTCCCTCTGTAATGGTGTATAAAAACTGCTTGCCATACTGGATCAACGCTCTCATCCCTGAAGCCACAGCCAGCTTCATACGTGAGCCCAGACTCGAGCCTGAATAAAGACCCTTGTGTGTTTGCATCAGAGCTGGCTCTTTGGTGGTCTCTCGGATTTTGAATTTTGGGTTTAACATGTTCAGTTCCAATCCATCCTTCAACCTCCCTTCCGCACACTTTGGTTCACTGCTGATTTTCTCGGTAACTCCCAAGCTCTAGTTCATCCATCTGCTCAGCAGTTCCCCCAAATCCTGGTGTCTTCACAGTCTAGAGCTACACCCATTCCTTCTGATACATGGTATTTGTTCATTTAACTCAAACTTGAAGGACAAACAGCTCCCTGTTCTGACATTGGTGGGCAGTCCTTCTACGCACATGGTTGCTGCCATCACGACCTCAGTGATGGGACGATGTCCACATCCTTCAAGCAGGGGCACCCTGTTCTCTCAGGCGTCCCACAGACTAAGCCATCCTAATACACCTCAGAAATAAAGGATGACCTTAGTGTGATCAATTATAGTGGATGGATCTCACAGCTTTAGCAAATTAACATTTTTATTAAAAATGATAAGTCCAATTGCTTACACATCATATAAACCGTTTCATACAGAATGTAACAAAAGGACAAATATGTCTGGATAATTAGGCATGAAAATAAGCCTGCTTTACTGCTTAGATACAATGTTACAGAAAGAAAAGCCGATGACACCTCACCTTTTGGGCTCTTGCTCTGTCAAGTCACGTTGCTCAGAATTCATAGCTAGTCCTGCTAACTGGATATCTGTGCTAACGAGGCCTACGTAATTCTCACGGGATGATCCCTCTGAAATGTCTGCTGTTGTCAGTGACTGAGAACTAACTGCCTACAAAGAAAAACAAGTATAAATGACAACAAAGACGTATCCTTTTATTTTTCTAATAAAGTGACTAAATGAGCAATTTGAAGGATAACTTAGAAGTTACATATTCCCCTATTATATTACCTTGAGGAAAAGTGTGACATATTTAACTCCCTCTACCAAAAAAAATCCCACAAGGATAAGTTTTAACACTAGGAAAAAAAGCACCCATTTTCCTTTTATGGTTTCATAAGAAAAAAAATAGTACATTTTCTTAGTTGTCCTTGTAAAGTGATAAAACGCCTTGTTGTGTAGGGGTACTTTGCTGTACCCTCTCTTAATCTCAAAAAACAGGGCAACAGAATTAGGTGCAAAGCTGAATTCTGGATCACAGCTTAATGAAAAAAAATGAGATCAGAAACGGTAGCTCACACTTATAATCCCGGCCCTGTGGGAATCTGAGGTGGGAGGATCGCTTAAGCCCAGAAGTTTAAGACCAACCAATTGGACAACATAGCAAGACCTACTCTATACAAAAAATCAAAAAAATAGGCTGGGCATGGTGATGCATGCCTGTAGTTCCAGGTACCTGGGAGGTGGCTGAAGGATTGCCTGAACTCAGAGGGTTAAGGCTGCAGTGAGCAGTAAACATGCTGCTGCACTCCAGCCTGGATGATAGAGTGAGACTCTGACGCCCCACCAAACAAACAGAAAAAAACCACACAGCAACAGATATTAACATAAAGTTGTGTCCTGTGTCAGAGTTTAATGAAAAGGTGAACCTAACAGTGTTATGTCTACCATTGTTATCCATATTCTCTTTTTTTTTATTTGACAAAATCTTGTCCAAAGTTTTTCTACTTTATTAATCTTGTCGAAGAGCTAGCTTTTGGTTTTATTGATCTTCATTATTATTTCTTTGTTACTTTTACATTAATTTTGCCATTGTTATTGTTTTCTTCTGCTTTGACTCTGTTTAATCCAACCTTTTGACTCAATTCTAGGGCTTTCATAATTATGTGTGTAATTATGATTCATTTTTTTTTTTTTTTTTGGTTTTGATTAGAGGGATGATATCATCAAGTTCCAAGGTTTTTTATTTCTTTTTGAGTTGGAGTCTCACTCTGTCGCCCAGACTGGAGTGCAGTGGCCGCTCCCGGCCACCGCAGCCTCGACCTGCTGGGCTCTGACGATCCTTCCGCCTCAGCCTTCCGAGTAGCCGGAATTACAGGCGCGCGCTACCACGCCCGGTTAATTTTTTTATTTTATTGTAGAGATGAGGTCTCGCCTGCCTAGGAGGCTCACGAACCCGCGGGCTCAGGCAATCCACTCACCTCAGCCTCCCAAAGGCACGGGATTTAAATTTTTTCAAAATTGTCGAAATCCGACACAGGTCCTCTGTTGTTTAACATGTGAACAATTTCATGTTGCATATTACAACCATTATCCACTATCTCCTGTAGCTGTGCACAACATGAAACTTTTTAATTTTATTTTTATGTTTTTATTTTTTTTGAGTTGGAATCTCACTCTGTCACCCAGACTGGAGTGCGGTGGCCGCTCCCGG